GTTTCCGCAAGGCAGTGCAGGAGGGAGGAATGATCCTCTTTGAGAACGTCAAGGTTTCAGTGAAGAAGGTGAAGGGGAACTCGTTGACAGTCAGGATCTTGCCGGATGACTTGAAGGAGACGCCGTTGGGAGAGCTGATGCCTGGGGATCAAGTCACGCTGTGTACCATAGACGATGCTTCTCAGTTGAAGGTGTAACAACAAGACTGAAGGTTAAAGATTTCCTTGAAACATCACTGAAGATATCCTTGAAACATCACTGAAGCCGGGCCCGGCTGGGCCCCCGGGGCCGGGCCGCGGACTCGGGACTCCGGGCGGCTGAGTGAGAGTCCGACGGTCGGGGTCCCTCAGAGCCTCCGGCGGCCCTACTGGTAGTACGGTCACCACACCGGGCCGACAGTGCGTGACACACGCTCGGACGGACGGACGCTCACAGCCGTACGGTCCCCGGGACTGCAGTCACCCGGCCAGTGCGCCGGGCACTGCTGCACTCAGTAGACAAGCACTGGACAGACAGTCAAAACTGATACAACTTGGCCCAGTGGCACGATCAAGTTCACTGGTGATCTTGATGCGAAAATCGGAATAATTCACAAGTTTTATCTAAGCCATAGGTAGTTCTATCGCACAAAGAAATTATAGTACATCATCCAACACAATGCCGTCAATGTTATGATTTCATTCCATTCTTTCGTCAAGCAATCCAAGCTTGACGTACTTGTCAAGATTTGGTTTGAACGATAAGATAAGCTCGTCTTGAGAAAGTGGCGCCGAGTCGAGGTTGTTGCTTCTGATCTCATCTCTGATGCGCATTTGGATCAGACCATTCCATTTCTGCCAGAGATGCGTGCTCGGTTTCCCCCAGATGATCTTGTCACCGGTTGTGAGCAGTTCCTCTTGCAACGTAGGGTTGTGCTGATACTTGGCGCGATTGATGAGATACATCACGTGCACCTTGACGTCATGCCAGCGCGGGTTCTTCTGATCTTCATATCCCTGTCCTTCTCTCCAGATGCGGAGGCCATAATGCTTGTCCGACTCTCCCTCAGACGGCAGCATGTCTCGAACCAGAAGCTTGCGTTCTGAAAGGTACTTCACGCCCTGGAAGCATTGCTCAACAGAGTGCCATTCAAGGTCATCGAACACGAACTTGACGATCTGGAAGTTGTCGGTACATGCTGGTCCTTCCACAAGCTTCTTCCCCTCCTCATCGACCAGTACCAGGCACTTTCCTCCCATCGTGACTGATCCGACTGATCCAGCTGATTTCTGTTAGGAAGGAGCTCATTACCCTAGTACCCCCATTAATCCCTGGAAAACAACCCCTAGGCAGATCAACCTGAAGCAGAACTTCTGGATGGTCCCTCACCCCTCCATTTCTAATCGTACTACCCACCCTCCAGACTACGGGTACAATCTCCCTCATACTACCCACCCAATTAGCCCGCAACACACCCCAAGTTGTACCTGCACATGGCTCAGATGCAACAAGGTGCAACGGGAGGAAGAGGAGCAGAAGGGAGGGGAAGACGAGGAGGAGGAGGAGAGGGAGGGAGGGAAATTACTCTATCGTACACGAGGAGAGGAGCATCCTCTTCCTCATCTTCAAGGGGAGCAAGCAGATTCTCAGTTTCCTGCATTCTCTTACTCTCGTCTTCATTGTTAGGGGTGCAAGCCCTTGACAACGGCGTCGGAAGACTCCCAGCCATGGGATACAACACCTGGAACGACCTTCTGTGCAAACCTACTGACTCGGCTATCCGCAAGGCAGCTGTCCGGCTGGAGGGGTTGGGGCTTGCGGCCCTGGGCTACACTTACGTTAATATCGACGACTGCTGGGCGGTCTCAAGGGATCCCAAGACCAACAGGCTCGTGCACGACGCCAGTGCGTTCCCCCAAGGGATCAAAGGTCTGGCGGACTTCATGCACTCCAAGGGATTCAAGTTGGGGATCTACACGGACAGGGGGCAGCTGACGTGTGCTGGTAGACCAGGGTCTCTTGGAACAGAGGAGCTGGATGCCCAGACTTTTGCAGACTGGGGGATCGACTACCTGAAGGAGGATAGTTGTAACGCTACCCAAGAGCACGAGGGAGCGTTGGATGAATACAGGAAGATGAGAGACGCCTTGAACAAGACCGGACGACCGATCTACTTCTCCCTGTGTGGCTGGCATACCTGGTACGCCATGCCAGGGAAGAGCATCGGGAACAGCTGGAGGATAGCTGGGGACGTGGTCAACTGGAAGACGATGTACCGAGCAATCAGGAAGAGCGAGTTGGTCGTGAAGTTTGCCGGCCCTGGAGGATGGAACGATCCCGACAGTGAGCAGAATGAGTCGTACTGCCTTGATGTCTGACAGCGCTGCAGTGCTCATAGGTAGTGGCGGAGGCTCCAACTTCAATCTCTTGCCTCATCAGTCCAGGACTCAGTTCTCCTTGTGGTCTGTGCTGGCGGCTCCGCTACTCATAGGAGCTGCCATCAACAACCTGACGGCCTGGGATCTTGAGACCTACTCCAACGCCGACGTCATCGCCGTTGACCAGGACGTGCTAGGTATCCAGGGATCTCCGGTCTACAGCACCTGCCCACCTGCCGAGCAGCTCTCAGACTTGGACGACTACTCTGCAGAGAGCCTAGACAAGTATGCCCTGACGGACTGCGTGCAAGTCTGGGCCAGACCCCTTTCGTCGGGGAGTTTTGCTGTGATCTTGTTGAACCTCGCAGCTGATTCCAGGAACGTGGTATGCGACCTCGGCTGTATGAAGAAGATCAAAGCTCTGCATCCCAGCTGGAGGTCCAACAGCACGGAGAGGTGACGGATGCTGCTGATGCCTTGGGCATGCTGCTTCCTCACCCCCTTCTGTCCTCCAGGATCGCCTTCGACGCGAAGAACCTTTGGAGCAAGAAGGTGTTGAAGAAGATCGACCATCTTGAGACCGAGTAGCGCCTCCATCACTTCCTTGCTCAACTCACGCCAACCATGAGCGCAGGCTGCAGGGCTCGGGAGGTTCGGAGCTCTTCTTGCTCACTCCCTGCGACGACGACGCCGTGGGCAACACGCGATTCTGCTCCTACGACGACAGCGCCAGGGTGAAGGGTGACTGCGACACGTTGAACCTCAACCTCCTCTTTAACAAGTGCGACTCCGTCCGACTGAGCAAGACTGAGGTGATAGAGCTTCATCGATCAAAGTGCTGACTGCCTCTCTAGTTGCTCATGCTGTCCGGGCTACATGGCGTCATGCTCCTGCTCTTGGTCGGGGGAGTGATGTGGGCCGTGTCATACCTTAGCCGCCCGAGGAGGGGAGGGAGAGGACGGGGGTTGAGCAAGGATCTTCCGGTATACATTCGACATCAATGAGCGACAGTTTGAATTGATTGTTTCGACTTTGACGGTCAAACCTCAGCAGAAGGGGCCAAGGGAGGCGCCTGACAGTGAATGCCTAGAGGACGAGAGTCTCCTGACCCATCTCGTGACTGAGCACCTCACCGATCACGAGCAAGGCCATGCGCACTAGGTAGCATGTAAAGAATACTTTATCTTATCTTAGAAGTCTGTTCACCTAACTTAATCCTTCGCCTCTTCTCCTCCTCTCACTTCACTCGTCCGAGTCTTCGCTCATGTCATAGGCAAACCTGCCGCGAGTCAGCTGCCCACCAAGAGGTTTGACACCGTCGGAACCTGCTGGAAGAGGCCTTGAAGGCCTCCTGGTCATCGTAGAGGTCCAAGTCGTCATCGGAGAGGTCGTTCACCATGTCCCTCCTGAGGCGCTTCTCATACAGCCCGCCGAGGGAGGATCGATCGAAGTCATCGTCCGACAGGTTCTCCTCGTCGAAGTCGCTCTCCTGGCACTACGGTCAGCAATGCTACAGCTGGGGCCGGAGCTTCCCACCTCCTCGTCGGGGTAGTCGTTGCGGGGGTTGTCCTGCGGGCCTCGGGTGAGCAGGAGACTGCAGGGAAGACTCCTACCTCCGCGTTCGAGTCTTCAGATTCATACAGGAAGGTGGGGTCCTCACCTGTGAGACCTCAGGAGGGGAGGACAAGGGTAGAGAGGGAGGCGAGGGGACGAGGAGGAAAGGGAACGGGGAGGAGGAGAGGAGGGTTTAGGAGGAGCGTCACCGCCGCAGTCCAGCAGGTCATCGTCCCACAGCTCGCTCACGTCCAGGTTGATCCTTCCGATCCTCGAGAGTGGGCTGAAGTTTGACGCGCTGGCCGGGTCCATCCAGTAGTAGTCGTAGACGAACTCCGAGTCTTCACCCTCCTCCGTCCTGCTCCATATGCAGTCAGACTCTTCTGATGGAAGTTTATCCAAGTTTCACCTGGGACGCTGCGCCGGGGAGAAAACTTCGCGTTCGATCACCTCTCCGTTGCAGGCGAGCTCGCCGTCGCTCCTGAAGGAGTGGAACCCATGGTCGAAGTCCACGGACGCGTTGGCATCGTCAAAGATCTCTGGCTTCTTCTTCTTCGCTGAGAGCAACCCGTCCTTGTCCGCCTCAACTGCAACGTCCACGATCCGAACACGCGGCATGCTGTCTTCTTGCACATCAAAGACACTCTGCCTGCTCGCATCGACCATGCAGGATCGGGCAACCTTGGTGCCATGCAAGTGCTTTCCCTTCCTTCGCTCCAACGAGTCGTCGGCCGACATGCCATCTGATCTCTGCCAGTCCTCCCGCTTCCTCAGGATTCCAGCCCTGGGGGTTGACTTCTTGTCGGACATTCGCCGGATGATCTCTCTGACTTTCTCCGCATTCAGCGCCGAGCTGTCTAGCGACTCGTTCACCGTGTTGTCCCGCACGTGCGGCTCGCACGTCGACGAGTTGGAGACGCTCTGGACGAGCCGGAAGAGCATGGGAGACTCTGCGGGCCGCTCCTCTCCATTGCTTGCCCCCTGCGCCTCTTTCGAGTCTGCAGCATGGGAGGACAGGGAAAGCGCTCCCATCTCCGTGAGGATGGACTGCCGCTTGCTCGGAGGCTCCGCGACCAGCAGAGCATCGAGCGGCTCCTCCTCCCTCCTGCGCTTGACTCGGATGAGGAGGGCAGAGTGCAATGGATCTCCCGCCAGCCCGTCCGACATCTTGGACGACGAGAGGGCGACTGACGGTGAGGAGATGGGGGAGGGAATCTTGGGGACAAACTTGCGACTCGGCGTCGACATGGTTCAGGTTGGAGATGCAGGGGAAGAAGCGGAGGGGAGAGATGAGAGAGGAGGAGATCGCATCAACTAATCATACCCGCCCTCACCTTACTTCAGCCGGTGCCTGGACCTACAAGCCAAATCAAAAGTGAGAACATGGATATTGGGTGGGCTGAACGTAGCAGCAGAAGTGTCAGTCATGCCGTTAGTGGGAGGGGCAGGAGGGGCAGGAGCAGGAGGAGCAGGAGGAAACATGATGCACGAGAAGGAGAGCGGGAGGAGACGCAGCAGGGCAGCAAGAGCAGGAGGCGCACAAGACGCAGGAGAATCAAGATCAGGGGGAGGAGGAGGAGGATGATGGGGAGCGGGAGGCGGCAGCTGCTGCGGCAGCAGGAGCAGCAGCATGTAGTTCGGGACAAGGACAAGGGAAGAGTCTGCATGCGTTCAGATTCCCCTTTTACTTCATTGATTCCGTTTCGAACCTAGACCTCAAATCAACTAGGACACCTGCTCTAGATCTAGAATATTGCCCCAAATCTAGATAGGCTGAGCAGTAGCGTACAGATCTGTTACAACTCTGGGATAAACTTTGGAACAGGTTGTGGCGACATGGCGGATCGCGAGAGGTGATACGGCAAACTCCCTCTTGCTGCTCCTGCTCCTGCTCCTGCTCCTGCTCCTTCTCCTGCTCCTGCTCCTGCTCCTGCTCCTGCTCCTGCTCCTGCTCCTGCTCCTTCTCCTGCTCCTGCTCCTTCTCCTGCTCCTGCTCCTTCTCCTGCTCCTGCTCCTCCTCCTCCTCCTGCTGCTGCTCCTGCTCCTTATCCTCCTCCTGCTGCTCCTCCTTATCCTGCTGCTGCTGCTCCTCCTCCTGCATGTCATCCAGCTTCATCATCATCTCCATCATCATTTCATCACCACCACCACCATCACCAACACCACCACCACCATCACCACCACCACCACCACCACCACCACCACCACCACCACCACCATCATCATCATCATCATCATCTTCTTCTTCTTCTTCTTCTTCTTCTGCTGCTGCTGCTGCTGCCGTTGCTGCTACACCTGCTGCCATGTCTCCAGACCCTACCCATCATGCTTTCCTTTCTCTCCTTATCTCGCCGTTTTTCTTATACCCGCTCTCGATCATGATCGTGCCCTCGCTGGCCTAAGCCCTCGCTGCTGATGGGATCCTGCCCCTACTACTGTCTTTGCTCTTGCTCCTCTTTCTGGATTAGTAGCCGCCTCTCCTCCTCTCTCCTCTTCTCCTCTCCTCTTCTGCTTCCCGCATCCCCTGCCCTCTCCGAGGAAGTTTGCATCTGAAGCCCGATCGCGTTACCCCGCATGCTCGCTCCCTCAAGCATGTGCGCAGTCTGTCGTCGACCTACAACAAGCTATGGTGCGATCACCGGGTGTCGGTACTGAACAAGTATGTCTTCACAGCGATAGTCCAGACAGGAGGAGAGGAGAGTGTGAGGATGAGACTGAAACGTGCTGCCAACCTTTCTGACTTGCGGGCAGGTGAGCAAAGAGAAGATACAGAAGGGGGTCGAGATTGAGTCGAGCGATTCCTCCTGCTTCACCCGAAAGAGCTACCCGGTTGAGATGAGCCAGTGAGGGTGGAGGAGATGAGGATAGGACCTCGTCTCGTCTCACTTCCCTCGCTCCTCCTCCCCCTCGTTCTCCTCTCTACCCTCTATGGTGGCTGCAAGGGGACGGGTGGAGATGGCAACCAGATGTACGACAAGTTCGATGATATGAACAATGTGTTCGGATTAGTCGGTGAAAGCGCTTCAGTCTACTTCCTTGGTCAGTCTCATGCTATTCTTAAAACTCCATCCTCCTTCCTCCACTAGATTCCTCCACCTCCTATCCTCCTCCTCACTTGCCCACCACCACCACCACCACCACCTCCTCCTCCTCCTCCTCCCTTCTCTCCCATGCTCTCATTTCTCAGCCCTCAAGGTCAACGCAGGAAGGAAAACGAGCGTGGAAGAGTGCGAGGAGGCTGCATTGAAGGTCTGTGAGGAGCGGAGGAAGAGGGGGAAGTGAAGTTGAGCATGCAGCACTGGCAGCTGTCTGGAAGGAGGAGCGTGATCGACTCTTTCACCTGGCACAGCGCTCGTTTCTACCTCCCGCAATGGCAGGGCTTGTGCTTCGGCCGCAGCGATGGCGTGTGGGCCCCGGACTTTCAGAAGAATGTGGTGGGAGGGAGGATAGTACGGAGCAGGTGGAGGAGCTACATTCAAGGGCTCAGAGGGCTGAACGAGTCGAGCCCGGAGAGGACAGAGGAGGAGAGTGCGAACGAGGAGGAAACGTGGAAGGAGGAGGAGCAGATTGTCAGGGATCTTGGTCGATCGGAGAACGGGGGGTTGAGGTGCAATGTGCTGGAGTGGCGATTGAAACAAAGGTTCACCTCCTCCTCCTCCTCCCTCCTCCCTCCTCCCTCCTCCCTCCTCCCTCCTCCCTCCTCCCTCCTCCCTCCTGCCTCGAGCTCCCTCATCCTACCTCCTCTTCCTCCCTCCTTCCTTCTGCCTCGAGCTCCCTCATCCTACCTCCTCTTCCTCCCTCCTTCCTTCTGCCTCCTGGCTTTCCCTGCTTCACCAGTCTCCTCTTAAAACTTCTCTCAGGCTGGATCAGGACAGATTCCTCAAGACGGGCAGGTCCTGCTCCATGTGCGGATGGCGAGGATGCAAGCTTTGCCCGGCAGTGCAGGTAGAGGAAGAGGAAATAAGAACAATGAGCGAGTGAGGGCAGGAGGAGGAGGAGGAGGAGCCGGAGCAGGAGGAGCAGGAGCAGGAGCAGGATCTAATTATTCTATCAGATTTGCGGGAATGAGTCAGGAGGAGAGACTATTGAGGTTTGCAGCTACTAATTCATTCGTCCTCCTCTCTCCTTTTGCTCCTCCCCCTGCTGCTGCTCCTCCTCCTGCTCCTCCTGCTCCTCTTCTCCTGCTCCTCCTCTCCAACATGAACGCTATCTCAGGTGCATTACTCGGACGATCATCAGAGGTCATCGTGGGCAGACATCATCATGTTCCCTGCTAATGGAGAATTTCCCGTCCTCTCGTTCCCTCCCTCCAAGCCTGCGTCTCAGGTTGCCATCTCCTCCTCTTGATCCTCGCTCTCCGTCTCCTCCTCCTTTTCCCCTCTTCTTTTCCTCCTCCGCCATCTCCTTCTCCTCACTCACTAAAGCTTTCTTCGTCTTTGTTTCTCCTCCTGTGTTTCGTCTGACTCTTCTTCCTCCTCCTCCTCGCTCAGGCGTGGGTGGCCATAGCAGGCGAGAGCAGCATGTGGTGGCCGCACGTGGAGGGTGAGAGGCGGGGAAGAGAAGGGAGAGAGAAGGAAGAGGTAGGGGGGAGGGGGTGGAGATAGGAGGAGGAAGAGGAAGAACAGTAGGGGGGTGGGGGGTGGAAGTAGGAGGAGGAACAGGAGTGAGGATGAAGCGATTGAGACGAGGGCATCGCAGATCTACGGGAGGACAAGCGGTTTGATCTTGTCATGGGGTACTCGAGACAGCTAGCCGACATGCATGCATCCTATGTCCCCCACAGGTGACCCTCCTCCTCCTTCTGCTCCTCCTGCTCCTGCTCCTCCCTTCTCTTCCTCCTGCTCCTGCTCCTTCTCCTCCTGCTCCTGCTCCTCCTCCTGTTCCTTTTCTGAATTTCTCGTAGCCTTGTAGAGATCCAGAAGGGACTGCAATTAGAGCAGGACGAGCTGCGAAGCATTAACGTCTCTGCCGACATCGCCTACTTCGCCTCCAACTGCAACTCTGACTTCCGCCAGTCGTGGGTGAGGAGGAGGGGGGAGGAGGAGAAGGAGGAGGAGGGGTGGGGGAGGAAAGAACGAAAAGGAGGAAGCGAACGAAAAGGAGGAAGCGAACGAAAAGGAGGAAGCGAACGAAAAGGGGGAAGGAGATTTGTGTAGTGAGATTGAGGAGGAAATAAAAGGAGGAATGAGACAAGGAGGAGATGAAGGAGGAAGAAGGAAGGAAGAAGGAGAGGAGGTGAAGAAGCATGGGGGAGGAAGAAGAAAGGGGAAGGAGGGAAAGGAAGGGGAGGGAGAGACGGAGGGAGACGCTGATGTGTCTGCAGGTGAAGGGGCTCATGGAAGCGATTCCAGTAGATTCTTATGGACAGTGCGAGAAGAATAAGGTGAAAGAGGAGGAAGGGGGGGAGGAGGGGAATGGAAGGGAGTGGAAGGGGGGGAGGGGGGGAAAGAAGAAGATGAAATGAGATGAAGGGGAGTGATGGTGATGTAGGAACTTCCTCTTCACCTCCTCCAGCTGCAGCAAGGACCTGATGAGGTATGTAATGGAGGAGGAGGAGGAGGAGGGAGAGGAGGAGGAGGAGGAGGAGATAGTAAATTAATTTTCTCGCAGGAGACTCACTTGC